CCAGAATTCCTTCACAAAATATTACCTTGCTCACACTCCAACAGCTCGTCAGGTTCCAAAAACCATTCATCTCCATTCACTCCTAACATGTTCACGAATGCTTGCTGGAAGTCCAAGCCCTTCGTCCACAAAACCTCCTTTTCCCCCCTCCCTCCAACCTTTTTGAGGACAATCCCTACCCCTCCTTCTTTCCCCTACAGATATATACGCTCTCCAAGTCATTCGACTTTGTTCCATTCTCTCTGAATTACCAAACCACTTCAACAACACCTCTTCAGCCCTCTGACTAATACTTTTAGTAACTCCACACCTCCTAATTTCCACACTGAATTCTCTGCATAATATTTATGCCATACACTGCCTTAGACACTACATCTCCAGCCTCCTCCTTGCTGCAGCATTTACAACCCATGCTTCACACCCATATAAGAGTGTTGATACAACTGTACTCTTGTACATTCCCTTCTTTGCCTCCATGGATAACATTTTTTGTTTCCACATATACCTCAACACATCACTAACCTTTTTTCCTTCATAAATTCTTTGGTTAACCTTATCCCTCATAAACCCATCTGCTGACAGGTCAACTCTCAAATATCTGAAAACATTCACTTCTTCCATACTCCCTCCAATGTGATATCCAATTTTTCTTTATTTAAATCATTTGATACCTTCCATCACCTTACCCTTATCTGTGTTCACTTTCAACTTTATATCCTTACACACCCTCCCAAACTCGTCTGCTAACCTTTGTAACTTTTCTCTAGAATCTCCCAAAAGCACATTATCATCAGCAAAAAAAGTAACTATGTTAACCCTTTGAGGGTCGACAGGCCCTCTCCGAGACTCGTGCTCAGGGTCGGCCAAATTTAAAAAAAAAAAAAAATCTCTTATGAAAAGATAGAGAAACTTTTCCCGATCATAATGACACCAAAAGTTTGAAATTTGATGGAAAACTTGCGGAATTGTGCTCTCGCGAAGTTAGTGGTCTCTGCGATGTTTACGCATCGGCGATCTTGCCCACTTTGAGCCCCATTTTCGGCCAATTCCACTGTACTAGTCGACAAAAAACATGAATATTTCGCTAGAACTCCATATTTTCTATCGAATGAGTGCAAGAAACCACCCATTTATCAATTTCAATTATCCAGTACAGTGGTCAGAATTTAGCAATTTTGCCAATTTCACACAAATTTCAAAAAATGCCAATTTCTGAATAGGGTCGAGAATAAACAAGAAAGACATTCCTGGCACTAAAATGACATTTCCTCTGTTCATTAATCACGTCTCAAGGCCCCTCTTACATTCTTTTGCTTTCCACTTTGAATTTTTATTCTCGCAAAAAATAGAAGATTTACTGTTATGCAGACTACTGCATTAGTGTAAAAAATGGTATAAATAATATTGGCGTACTTGCAAAAGAATATTAGACTCGCCAGTTGACGTGTATTGGACGCTTGGCATGATTTGTTTACTTTTGAACTTTGGTAAAAATCGAACATTTCTGCTACTTTGAGCTCAATTTGAAGGTACTTTTCATTGTAAAACCAGTCAAAATCATCTCAATTTCTGTAATATGTCTTCCATTCTATAAAATGAGACCAAGAAAACTAGAATACAACAATAAATACCATACGAAAATACAGTGCAAAGTCGCTGTTTTATTCCCAAAAAACGGTCAAAGTTTTTTTTTTTCTCATTATGCACTGTGTGCTGCAGGATTTTTTTTTATATTGTGCACACTGACCACATAGACCCATTCTTTCATATGTAGGCCTACCAGCTTTCTCCCACTAGAGTTAAGGGTGCTAGAATTTAGGCGTACTAGTACGTCAAAAACCCTGGGTCGTAAGCCGTACTAGTATGGCCGAAACCCTCAAAGGGTTAAATCCTCTTTTTGTATTTGATTCCCCATAATTTAATTCCACCCATCTCCCCAACACCCTAGCATTTACTTCTTTTACAGCCCCATCTAAAATTATGTTAAACAACCATGGTAACATTACACATCCCTGTCTAAGATGTACTAAAACTGAGAAGTAATCTCCCTCTCTCCTACACACCCTAATCTGAGCCTCATTATCCTCATAAAAACTCCTCATAGCATTTAGTAACTTACTACCTGTTCCATACACTTGCAACATCTGCCACATTGCTCACCTATCCACTCTATCATATGGCTTTTCTAAATCCATAAATGCAGTGAAAACTTCCCTTCCTTTATCTAAATACTGTTCACATATATGCTTCAAAGTAAACACTTGACCTACATGTCCCCTACCCACTCTAAAGCCTCCTTGCTCATCTACAATCCTACTCTCTGTCTTACCTCTAATTCTTTCAATAATAACCCTACTGGTATACTCAGTAAACTTATTCCTCTATAATTTTTACAGTCTCTTTTGTCCCTCTTTCCTTTTTATAAAGGAACTATGCATGCTCTCTGCCAATCCTTAGGTACCTTCCCCTCTTTATACATTTATTAAACTGAAACACCAACCACTCCAACACTATATCTCCACCTGCTTTTAACATTTCTGTCGTGATCCCATCAGTTTCAGCTGCTTTACCCCCTTTCATTCTATGTAATGCCTAACATGCCTCCCCCACACTCACATCCTGCTCTTCTGCATTCCTAAAAGATGTTATACCTCCCTGGCCATTGCATGAAATTACTGCCTCCCTTTCTTCATCGACATTTTTAACTTGATAGCAGTCTTCTACCAAGGCAGGAAAGGATGGATAGGGAAGCAATGTGGCAGATGTTACAGATGTTTGAAATAGTTATTAGGTTACTCAAAGCTGTTAAAAAATTTTATGTAGATAGTGATGCTCAGGTTAAGGTATATAGGACAGAGGGGGATAATTTTCTAGTAAAGTGGGCCTTAGACAGGGATGTGTGATGTCAGTGTGGTTGTTTAACATGTTTATATATGGGGTTATAAAAGAAGTGAATGCTAGGGTGCTAGGGAGAGGTGTGAGATTGAAGGATAATTCATTTGATACAAAGTGGGAATTTATAGTTACATTTTGCATAAGAACATAAGAAAGGAGGAACACTGCAGCAGGCCTGTTGGCCCATACTAGGCAGGTCCTTCACACATCCATCCCACTAATAGAATATTTGCCTTCAAAAGAACATAAGATCATAAGAAATAAGGAACACTGCAACAGGTCTACTGGTCTATGCGAGGCAGCTCCAATTCTCCCCACCGGCTTAAGTCAGTGTCCTGACCTAGTGAGGTCAAAGACGTCACTTAAGGGATTAGCACTGCATGGGACCTAGTAGCTAGTCAGGTCCATTTCACACCCACCCACACCCACTCATAAGACCATAAGAACACAAGAAAGAAGGAACACCACAGCAGGCCCACTGACCCACGCGAAGCAGGTCCATGTCCTCCTCCTCCTCCTCCTTCCCCCCCCCCCCCCCCAGATTAGCCCAATGACCCACCTAGTCAAGTCACTTCCACTTAAGGAAGGAGCATGGCATTAGACCTAGTAGCACAAGCTAGTCAGGTCCAACTCGCACCCACCCACACCCACTCATGTATTTATCTAACCTATTTTTAAAACTACACAACGTTTTAGCCTCAATAACTGTACTCGGGAGTTGGTTCCACTCATCCACAACTCTATTACCAAACCAGTGCTTTCCTATATCCTTCCTGAATCTGAATTTTTCCAACTTGAAACCATTGCTGTGAGTCCTGTCTTGGCTGATGACACAGTTCTTCTAGGAGATTCTGAGGAGAAGTTGCATGAAAGGTTGGTGCAGGAATTTGGGAGGGTTTGTACAAGAAGGAAATTAAAAGTGAGTATGGGAAAGAGTAAGATGATGAGAGTAACAAAAAATATAGACAGTGAAAAATTGGATATCAGATTGGAGGGAGATAGTATTCAAGAAGTAAATCTGATCAAATAATTGGGAGTGTACTTGTCAGTGGATGGGTCTATGAAAAATGAGGTGAACAATAGAATTTCCAGGTAGAAAAAAGACAGGTGGCACATTGAGACATCTGTGGAAACAAAGAATTTTCTCCATGGAGGCAAAAAGAGGATTGTACCAGAGTATAATGGTGTTGTACCAACACTTGTTACATGGGTGTGAAGCAGTGAGGAGGAAGTTAGAGGCATTGGAGATTATGTATTTGAGGACAGAGTATAGTATGAATATTACACAGAGAATTTGAGGCTTTGAGATATAAACGTGTAGAGCTGAGGAAAGGTTGTTGAGGAAGTTCAGGCATTTAAAGAGGATGAAGTATAAATCTGGGGTTGAGGGAAGGAGGGGTTGGGATCAGCTTAGGGAAGGTTGGAGGAAGGGGTCAAGAAGGTTTTGAGTAGGGGCTTGGCCATCTAATAGGCTTGTGTGAGCATGTTAGGACTGAGTGGAGGCAAGCGGTTGTCATGACTTAATGTACTGTTTAAATGTGATAATGGTAATATTTATGAAGAAATTTAGGGAAATGGTTAGCTGGACTTGATTCCTGGAGGTGGAAAATATAATGTCTACACTCTGATGGGAGGGTGGGGATGCTGCAGTTCAGAGGACCACCTAAATTGCATTGTCACCACACTTCTGGCTAGAGTCTGATTGAATGAATGATTGTGAGTGGTTCCTCTTTTTTGAATCACCCTACATCAGTAAATTAAAAAGTAATGAAAATGAATGGATCAGTTTGAAACTGATCAGAATTGTCCTTGTCACAATTCTGAGGGACCACATAGAATATTGCTCAGTGGTCAAACTGATTGAGCTATTTTCTGCACTTTCATATTTTTAATTGTTAAATAATCTATATTAAAAAAATAAAATTTGAGTTTAGCATTTATTTACTGGCACACAGTCTATACTTAGAGCAAAACGTAGTGTAAATAAAAGTTTGATTTGCACTTGGTGTCTTTTAATATATTTGTTAGCAAGTCTTGCCATCCAACAGGTTACAGTGTAAAATATACCATAACCTATAATTTTAAAATTGAAATTACTGCTACAGATGATCCCAAAGAATCAGTGAAGAGCAATGCCAGCAAGCAGATGTTGATCCTCTCACCACCTGCAGTGCTCACTCTCCATCTGAAGCGCTTTCATCACTTAGGCTTCAATCTTGCAAAAGTCAACCGTTATGTTCAGTTCCCATTAGTGTTGGATATTGCTCCATTCACTTCATCAATCTCATTGGTATGTATTCAAGGTATGGTATAGACAATAGAGAAAATAATGTTCATTACTGATTTTATAATTTTAAAGAAATCTTTAAGTCTTTCGAGAAAATTTTTTTTTTTTTATAGAAATAGAGAGCGCATTTTTCTACGTGTCATAAGATAAAAAAAAATTAGGGTCAGTACTTACCGAGATATGAGCCTGCAAAGTTGGCCCTCGATGCTCATCTGATGGCAACATGGAGTCCTGCCGCTTGCAGAAGTGTTGCTGATATACCTTTTTTTTTTCTCGTTTTTATATTGTATAATTTTTATGTTATGATAATTACTATTTATCCTAGGTAGTAGGTTGGTAAACAGCAACCGCCCAGGGAGTTACTACCGTCCTGCCAAGTGAGTGTACAACGAAAACCTGTAATTGTTTTACATGATGGTAGGATTGCTGGTGTCTTTTGTCTGTCTCATAAACATGCAAGATTTCAGGTATGTCTTGCTACTTCTACTTGCACTTAGGTCACACTACACATACATGTACAAGCATATATATACACACCCCTCTGGGTATTCTTCTATTTTCTTTCTAGTTCTTGTTCTTGTTTATTTCCTCTTATCTCCATGGGGAAGTGGAACAGAATTCTTCCTCCGTAAGCCATGCGTGTTGTAAGAGGCGACTAAAATGCTGGGAGCAACGGGCTAGTAACCCCTTCTCCCGTATAAATTACTAAATTTAAAAGAGGAACTTCCATTTTTCTTTTTGGGCCACCCTGCCTTGGTGGGATACGGCTGGTGTGTTGAAAGAAAGAATGAATTACTATTTATCCTAGGTAGTAGGTTGGTAGACAGCAACCGCCCAGGGAGGTACTACTGTCTTGCCAAGTGAGTGTAAAACAGAAACCTGTAATTGTTTTACATGATAGTAGGATTGCTGGTGTCTTTTTTCTATCTCATAAACATGCAAGATTTCAGGTACATCTTGCTACTTCTACTTACACTTAGGTCACACTACACATACATGTACAAGCATATATATACATACCCCTCTGGGTTTTCTTCTATTTTCTTTCTAGTTCTTGTTCTTGTTTATTTCCTCTTATCTCCATGGGGAAGTGGAACAGAATTCTTCCTCCGTAAGCCATGCGTGTTGTATGAGGCGACTAAAATGCCGCGAGGAAGGGGCTAGTAACCCCTTCTCCTGTATATATTACTAAATTTGAAAGGAGAAACTGTCGTTTTTTTCTTTTTGGGCCACCCCACCTCGGTGGGATACAGCTGGTACATTGAGAGAAAGAAAGAAAAAGAATTACTATTTTTAGTAGTTCTTGTGATTTGATACCCAATCTTTGTTCTGACACTAATATTAGGTACTGAAATAGTACTCAAATAGTCACAAACACAGTGACAGGTGAACATTTTCTCCTACCTTAGTCACATGCTATTGTCTAGAAATATATACATAGTATTTATATGTCCCAGCAATGTTTTGGATACGGGAATATATAATAATAATAACAGTAATAAGTTCCCTTGAAGCATCATGTAAGAATGTGTCACTCTTCTTATCTTATCACTCCACTGCTGATAATGGTGACATTTGATGAGATGGTCTTATCTTTTCACCCCACTAATAAGAACATAAGAAAGAAGGAACACTGCAACAGGCCTACTGACCCATGCAGAGCAGGTCCATGTGCCCCCCCTCCCAGATTAGACCAATGACCCACCCCCCTGAATTAGCCCGATGACCCACCCAGTCTGGTCACCTCCACTCAAGGATGGAGCACTGCACCAGACCCAGCAGCACAAGCTAGTCAGGTCCAACTCACATCCACCCACACCCACTTATGTATTTATCTAACCTGTTTTTAAAACTACACAATGTTTTAGCCTCAATAACTGTACTCGGGAGTTGGTTCCACTCATCCACAACTCTATTACCAAACCAGTATTTTCCTATATCCTTCCTGAATCTGAATTTTTCCAACTTGAAACCGTCGCTGCGAGTCCTGTCTTGGCTGGAAATTTTCAGCACGCTATTTACATCCCCTTTATTTATTCCTGTTTTCTATTTATACACTTCGATCATATCTCCCGTAATTCTACGCCTTTCGAGAGAGTGCAGATTCAGGGCCCTCAGTCTAATGACAGTGGTGACATTTGATGAGCCTTCACTTTATTTGTTTTCACTGTTAGACATAAACATGTCTGCCTATCTGTCTGTCTATCTGTCTGTCTGTCTAGCTCTCCGTCTATCTAGCTCTGTCTGTGTGTGTGTCTGTCTTTCTGTCTGCTTGTTTCAGTTGCTCATGAACTAACTGGTATTACACATGATCACTATTTACAAGCACAGTATAGCATGACTCACGAAATCATAATGACACGATTGCAAACATTTCGTGAGTCATGTTGACGGCTTTGAGGGGACTTGAGCTAGAGTTCGTCATGGCCATGCTAGCGGGAGATTCGTCTGTAAAAACTTGCATTTGTGGACACAGTGGTGCCTATGCTAACCTTCCTATGGTGCAGAAATACACCTAGTTGGACAAATCTTATTGAAGCTAGCTGGCCCAGTGGCTAATGCGACGGTCTGGAGTTTTGAGAGTCTCTGACCGCGGGTTCAAATCCCGCCCGTGGTATGGTTTACAGTATAGCAATTTGTCTGTATTTTTGGGGTTATCCTTGGTAATTTACACTATGTATAATTGTATTTACGTATGTATTCCTGTGAGACAGAGATAGAGACCAGAGATAGATACAGACAGACAGATGGAGATAGAGACAGATAATCAGTCAGCCAGCCGCTGGCTAGCCAGGTGGTCAGCCAGATGGCCAGCCAGATGGCCAGCCAGCCGCCAACTAGCCAGCTGGCTAGCCAGCCTGCCGAAATTACAGTTCCAGAAATGTTTATTTTTACTTACGGCATAGGTTATAGGACATTTGGCAGGATGACTCTCTCCTCTTGAAAGGGGAGTGTTAATACTACATGACATCAGTGAATCCTTGGTGTTTGCTGCTCTGTTTGCTCTAGCTGGTGCTCAGTTGAACTGGTGCTCCCACAAGGTACTAAGTGGTCCCAGATTTTTTTAATACAGCGCACACCGAGGGTTAAGACCCTTTCTATGCTGACCAGGCATCTTAGGCCAATCATGCCAAATTTGGAGGCAGGAAAAATAAAACGTAGATCTACGTTTGGAGCGCTTGCAGTAAGAATGTAGATCTACTTTTGGACAGTTAACGGGTTAAAATTTAGAACCTAGGGGCTATTTGTTAGTAGAGTAGCTGTGTAAGTAGATATGTATATAAAAAGAAGAATATTTTTATAGTTTTCCTTCTTTTTGGGTCACCCTGCCTCAGAGGGAAACGGCCAGTATGTTAAAAAAAAAAAAAGTGTGCATGTACACTCAGGCACATACATACATACATACCCAGCCTGCCTTGGTGGGAGATGGCTGTTGTGTTGAAAAAAAAGAAAGAAAAAATATAAACACAAATATGTACATAGTACAGTGGAACCTCGGATTTCATCCAGTGCGGATATCGTACAATTCAGATTTCAACCACTTTTTTGGGAAAAATTTTACCCCAGGTTTTGTACCTCCTCTCAGAAATCGTCCGTACCAGATGCGTCTGCCTTTGCCACTCATACGTTCGTGATACTATTTTTTTTTTTTTTCAACAAGTTGGCCGTCTCCCACCGAGGCAGGGTGACCCAGAGAGAAAGAAAATCCCCAAAAAGAAAATATGTACTTTCATCATTATCATCCAACACTTTCACCTCAATCATACATCATTGCTCTTTGCAGAGGCGCCCAGATACAACAGTTTTGAAGCATGTATAAAGATATATAACATATCCCTCCAAACTGCCAATATCCCAAACCTCTCCTTTAAAGTGCAGGCATTGTACTTTCCATTTCCAGTACTCGAATCTGGCTATATAAAAATCACCGGTTTCCCTGAATCCCTTCACTAAATGTTACCCTGCTCACACTCCAACAGCTAGGGGGTCCCAAAAACCATTCGTCTCCATTCACTCCTATCTAACATGCTCATACACACTTGCTGGAAGTCCAAGCCCCTCATCCCAAAACCTCCTTTTCCCCCTCCTTCCAACCTTTTCGAAGATAATCCCTACCCCTCCTTTCTTCCCCTACAGATTTATACGCTCTTCAAGTCATTTGACTTTGTTCCATTCTCTCTAAATAACCAAACCACCTCAACAACCCCTCTTCAGCCCTCTGACTAATACTTTTATTAACTCCACACCTCCTCCTAATTTCCACACTACGAATTCTCTGCACAATATTTACACCATACATTGCCTTAGACACGACATCTCCACTGCCTCCAGCCTCCTCCTCGCTGCAGCATTTACAACCCATGCTTCACACCTATATAAGAGTGTTGGTACAACTATACTCTTGTACATTCCCTTCTTTGCCTCCATGAATAACATTTTTTTGTCTCCACAAATACCTCAATGCACCACTCACCTTTTTTCCTTCATCATTTCTATGGTTAACTTCATCGTTCATAAACTCATCTGCTGACACATCAACTCCCAAATATCTGAAAACATTCACTTCTTCCATACACCCTCTCTCCAATGTAATATCCAATTTTTCTTAATTTAAATTGTTTAATACCCTCATCGCCTTACTCTTATCTATGTTCACTTTCAACTTTCTACCTTTACACACCCTCCCAAACTCGTCCACTAACCTTTGCAACTTTTCTTTAGAATCTCCCAAAAGCACAGTATCATCAGCAAAAAGTAACTGGGTCAACCCCCATTTTGTACTTGATTCCCCATAATTTAATCTCATCCCTCTCCCCAACACCCTAGCATTTACTTCTTTCACAATCCCACCTAATACATAACAATAATCACTCTTGGGCACATTAAATGTCTTACTTTAGGTTAATATAGACATTTTCATTAATCCATCTATGATATTTTCTTCAGAATTATATAAGAAACACGCTACATAGCATATAAACATGCCTTTGTTACTTGTTCACTAAGATTGTCCCTCTAGTCTTAACGCCATAGTAATAATACTAATACGTAATAATAATCACTCTTGGGCACATTAACGCTTAAACTGTCCAAACATAGATCTATGCTCACGTGCTTAGCACTCCGACCTTTATTTTCCCCATTTGAAAGTATGTAAACAAAAATCTAGATCTACGTTCAGACCCCCCCACCCCCCACCATATTACTTCGGTTTTCATCCATTTTGGATTTCAGCTGACCTTCTGGAACAGATTAAGGATGAAAACCAGCGTTCCGCTGTGTATATGCACTTCTTTCAAAAAATGTAAGCTTCTCTTTTTAAATTTAGTAATTTATACAGGAGAAGGGGGGTTACATATACAGGTCTTCCTCAACATTCGCGAGGGTTAGGGGATCAAGAGCCTCGTGAATGTTGAAAAACCGTGAATGTTTGGTGCCCCAATATATTGTAGGGAAATATATTACAATACTGCTTCCTTAACTTGTTGAACCATGAATAATCATAAAATACATGAAAACGTTGTAAATTGTACTAAATATATACATGTTATGCTTTAATAACGTATGTTATTTAATAACATGTATGTTATTAAATACCACAGACTCCACCAATGCCTCCACCACTTCCTCAACCACTGCGAGTCCCTACTACCCTCCCTCCGACCCCCACAACTGGCAGCCAGCCCTCCCACCACTCAGTGTGGTGAGTGTTTTGTTTGTTCATTATTTGCTATTAAACTACAGAATAAATAATGTAAACCCATTCATGACTGCATATTGGAATGGCTGTTAGGAAAGGTATTAGACGGTGACATCATGTGTTTTCGAACATTTCTACTATTGCTAATAATAACAATAGTAGTAATAATAATAATAATAATAACAATAATAATAATAAATACGATATAATTGAAGAAGGAAATTGTACAAAAATACGAGGGAGTGGTTGACACATCGTCAGTGACTTTGTTTATGCTGGAGTGAACATTAGTCTCCCTGCTCTTCCAAACATTTCACAATAATTCAGTGGTTGAGGCAGTGGTATTTAATAACATATATGTTATAAATAATAATAGTACATGTTATTATTAATAACATGTATTATTATTAAAATGTATGTATTTAATAACATGTTATAAATAATAATAGTACATATTATTAATAGCATGTATTATTATTAACATGTATGTTATTAAATACCATTGCCTCAATCACTGCCTCTACCACTCCAGTCACACTCAATCTACAAGCACCAAACACAATGAATTATTGTGAAATGTTTGGAAGAGCAGGGAGACTAATGTTCACTCCAGCATAAACAAAGTCACTGACGATGTGTCAACCACTCCCTCGTATTTTTGTACAATTTCCTTCTTCAATTATATCATATTTATTATTATTATTATTATTATTATTATTATTATTATTATTATTATTATTATTATTATTATTATTATTACTATTGTTATTTTTAGCTATAGCAGAAATGTTTAATTCTTTGCAGTGTTCAAGAGTAAACACATGATGTCACCATCTAATACCTGTCCGAATAGCCATTCCAATATGCAGTCATGAATGGGTTTACATTATTTATACTGAAGTTTAATAGCAAATAATGAACAAACAAAACACTCACCACACTGAGTGGTGGGAGGGCTGGCTGCCAGTTGCGGGGGTCGGAGGGAGGGTAGTAGGGACTCGCAGGTGGCAGGAAACTTAAATATGATTTGGCGGCTGGGAATTTGGTGGCTGGGAATTTGGCGGTTGGGAATTCGCAAATGTGTGAAGCCCGTGAAAGTTGAAAACGTGAATGTTGAGTGAGACCTGTATACAGCCTCTCCCCACTTAGTGATGGAGTTCCATTCCTAAGACCTCGTCAATAAACGAATTCGTCACTAAGTGAAGAGCACACTATAATGGTAGTGAGTTTATGTCAATCATCTTTGGTATTGTTTTAGTGTCCCCTTTGCACCATGTACATAACATTTCTGGTATTTTTAAATGTTTAAGCAGTAGTGTACAGTGGACCCTCGACCAACGATGGCATCGATTAACGATAAATCCGACCAGCGATACATTTTAACGCAAAAACTTTGCCTCGACTAGCGCTAAAAAACTCGACCAACATTATTCGTTCCGTCTGAGACGCATCCACTTCTGGCCAGTGTTTACAAGCCAGCCAGCCACCGCGGTCACTTCCAAGCATACAATCGGAACATTTCATATTATCACAGCCTTTTTAGTGATTGCACTTGCAAAATTAGTCACCATGGGCCCCAAGAAAGCTTCTAGTGCCAACCCTACAACAAAAAGGGTGAGAATTACTATGGATATGAAGAAAGAGATCATTGCTAAGTATGAAAGTGGAGTGCGTGTCTCCGAGCTGGCCAGGCTGTACACAAAACCCCAATCAACCATCGCTACTATTGTGGCCAAGAAAACGGCAATCAAGGAAGCTGTTCTTGCCAAAGGCGCAACTATGTTTTCGAAACTGAGATCGCAAGTGATAGAAGATGTTGAGAGACTGTTATTGGTGTGGATAAACGAAAAACAGATAGCAGGAGATAGCATCTCTCAAGCGATCATATGTGAAAAGGCTAGGAAGTTGCATGATGATTTAATTAGAAAAATGCCAGCAACTAGTGGTGATGTGAGTGAATTTAAGGCCAGCAAAGGTTGGTTTGAGAGATTTAAGAATCGTAATGGCATACATAGTGTGATAAGGCATGGTGAGGCTGCCAGTTTGGACAAAAAAGCAGCTGAAAAATATGTGCAGGAATTCAAGGAGTACATAGACAGTGAAGAATTGAAACCTGAACAAGTGTTTAATTGTGACACTGACAGTGTTGTGAAACCCTTTGGGAATGTCATAAAGGAACGGGAGGTACAGGCCTCTATGGACAGATATGTTGTGCGACAGAGGTCCAGTGACTCTCAAGCTGGTCCTAGTGGCATTAAAAGAAGAAGGGAAGTAACCCCAAAAAAGGACTTGCCACCTCAAGTCCTAATGGAAGGGGATTCCCCTTCTAAACACTAACACCATCAACACTCTCCTCTCCTCCCATCCCATCAATCATCACCAGATCTTCAATAAAGGTAAGTGTCATGTAACTGTGCATGTCTTCTTCAGTTTGTGTGTATTAAAATTAATATTTCATGTGTTAAAATTTTTTTTTCAATACTTTTGGGTGTCTTGCATGGATTAATTTGATTTCCATTATTTCTTATGGGGAAAATTAACTTGACTAACGATAATTTTGACTAACGATAAGCTCTCAGGAATGGATTAATAGCATTAGTCGAGGGTCCACTGTACTGTATATTGTAATAAACAGAATAGAGGAAATCAGCTCTAATATACATTATTTAGGTATGCAAACTGGTCAGAGGACCTGTCTTAAGTCCAAGTCGTCCGTAAACAAGTACGTCGCTAAGTGAGGAGAGACTGTATATACACATACATATATATTCATGTATATGCACGTACATATGTGCACCCTTAGAAATATGCATTTGTATACATTTGGGACTGCTAGGTTGTTAACGAGAGCTGGCAAATTTGGAGTGAATAATGAGGATATCCTCAAGCACCTCAGAGTAGATTAAAGTATTCCCTCAGTTCCAAGTGCACTGTTCCACCAGGCCTAAAGCTGCTGATAACTCGATGCCTAACTATATAATGGTAAAGGTCAAAAGAGGAAGCAGTGAGTTTAGTGGAGGGGGGGGGGAGAGTAAAGATTTGGGTAGGGTGAGAGAGAGAGAGAGAAAGAGTTTGGTTGGTCAAGAGGAAGAGAATGCACAAAAGAGTTGGATGGGGAGAGAGAGAGAGAGAGGAAAATTTTGGGTATTTTAGAGGGTGTGGAAGCTTTGTGGGAAGAGAAGGAAATTGCAACTTGCTCTCTAGCATACCTGTGGACCAGGCTAACTTGGTCAGTGTGCAATACATCAGAAACAAACCTTACTAATATGGCCAAAGGTAACACAGCTTGTCAAGTAAAGTAGTGTTAGGCTATAACTGTAAGTAACTTGGCAAACCACTTGAAAATTTTTATTTGGAATTTTTGCTCATATTCAGAAATTTCCTAAGGTCAGAGACCATTCCAGATTTATAATTAAAGTTCCAGATTTAGGAGAGCTATTACTTTATTTATTTAAAAAATTTTACCACTTTTTATGACTGTACTCTTGTCTTGTGTTTTTCAGGGTTTGGGTAATATGTCACGAGGACAAAGCCAGGTGCTGTATGGTCTTTATGGTGTTGTTGAGCACTCAGGCCGCCTCAACTCTGGCCACTACGTAGCCTATGTTCGTTCCCGTCCATTAGATCCTGCTCGTACCAATAAGCAATATCTCAACCTAAAGCCATCAAGTCAATTTGAAATTAACCACTTAGTGGCAGAAATGGCAGAGAAAATTGATGTAGCATCTGGTACACTGGGAAGTGATCTTAAAAGCTCATCTGGCAATAAGAACTCAGTCAATGTTGAAGTAAGAATTACTTTTATTTTTTTTCAAGATACTGTAGTCTTTTTTTCTGTATAGTGATTGATAATAAATATTTGGCTTGTTGAATGTAAAATTACTCTTTGTATTATACAGTTTTTCTTTACTCTTCCATTTTCATTATTCCTCTGAGTTACTTTTATTGCCTTTCTGTATTTTACCACTATCATTCTTGTGAAATGATAGAGAATCTTTTCCCGATTGTAATGACACCAAAAAAAAACGAAATTTGATGGAAAATTGACGGAATTACGCTCTTGCGAAGTTAGCGACCTTGGCGATATTTACAAATCTGTGATTTCGCCCACTTTGAGCCCTATTTTCGGCTAATTCCATTGTTCCAGTCGACCAAACTCATAGCTATTTCTTTAGAACTCCATTTTTTCTATCGATTGAGTACAAGAAACTGCCCATTTACCGATTTCAACTACCCGATAACATGGTCAGAAATTTGCAATTTGGCCAATTTCACGAAAATTAAAAAATAGACAATTTCAAAATAAGGTCCAAAATGAAAATTGCAGACATTCCTGGCTCTAAAATAACATTTTCATTGTTCATCAGTCATGTCTCCAGGCCCCTCTGATATTACTCTTGCTTTCTATTTTGAATTTTTATTCAAACACAAAATAGAAGATTTACTGTTTATGCAGACTACTGCAATATTGTAATAATTATATAAATAATGTCAACTCATTCATGACTGCATATTAGAATGGCTAGTTGGACATTTATTGGAAAATGACATCATTTGTTTACTTTTGAACATCAGCAAAAATTAAACATTTCCCCTATTTTGAGCTCCATTTCCAGGTTCTTTTTATAGTAAAACCAATCAAAATCACCTCCATTTCTATAATATGTTTTTTTACATTCTATCAAACGAGACCAAGAAAACGAGAATAGACCCATAAATACTACATGAAAATAGACCACAAAGTCGCCATTTTAATTTAAAAAACGGTCGTTTTTTTTTTTTCTCATTATGCACTGTGTGCTCCAGGATTTTTTTTATATGGTGCACACTGACCACACAGACCTATTCTCTCACATGTGGGCCTACCATTTTTCTCCTGCTTGATTTGAAGCCACTAGAATTTATGAGTATATATACATCAAACACGGTACCTCGTAAGACGTATATATACGACCAAAACAGTCAAAGGGTTAACTTCTTTCTTTCTTTCAACACACCGGCCGTATCCCACCAAGGCAGGGTAGCCCAAAAAGAAAAACGAAAGTTTCTCTTTTAAATTTAGTAATTTATACGGGAGAAGGGGTTACTAGCCCCTTGCTCCCAGCATTTTAGTCGTCTCTTACAACACACACGGCTTACGGAGGAAAAATTCTGTTCCACTTCCCCATGGAGATAAGAGGAAATAAACAAGAGCAAGAACTAGAAAGAAAATAGAAGAATACCCAGAGGGGTGTGTATATATATGCTTGTACATGTATGTATAGTGTGACCTAAGTGCAAGTAGAAGTAGCAAGACATACCTGAAATCTTGCATGTTTATGAGACAGACAAAAGACACCAGCAATCCTACCATCATGTAAAACAATTACAGGTTTTCGTTGTACACTCGCTTGGCAGGACGGTAGTACCTCCCTGGGCGGTTGCTGTTTACCAACCTACTACCTAGGAAAGGGTTAACTACTCATATTAATTTGATCAATCACAGGGAACGTTTGAAGCCCTCCCTGGAATGCAGGCAAGAAAGAATCTACACCTGGAAAATCCTAGAGAAATTAGTTCTAAATCTGTACGCAGGAATCACTCCCTACGAAATCAAAAGACTAGGAACAGTGCAACATACCCTTAACCCCTTGACGGTCGCAACCCCAAATCCTGAGGTTTCTCCTGGTGTTGCAAAATTTAAAAAAAAAAAAAAAAAAAATTCTTTTGAAATGATAGAGAATCTTTTCCCGATTGTAATGACACCAAAAGAATGAAATTTGATGGGAAAACTGACGGAATTACACTCTTGCGAAGTCAGCGATCTTGGCGATATTTACGAATTTGCAATTTCGCCCACTTTGAGCCCTATTTTTGGGTAATTCCATTGTTCCAGTCGACCAAACTCATAGCTATTTCTTTAGAACTCCATTTTTTCTACCGATTGAGTACAAGAAACTGCCCATTTACCAATTTCAACTGCCCAGTAACGTGGTCAGAAATTTGCAATTTGGCCAATTTCACGAAAATTAAAAAATATGATAATTTCAAAATAGGGTCCAGAATGAACAATGCAGACATTCCTGGTTCTAAAATAACATTTTCTTTGTTCATCAGTCATGTCTCCAGGCTCCTCTGATGCTACTCTTGCTTTCTATTGAATTTTTATTCAAACAAAAAATAGAAGATTTACTGTTATGCAGACTACTGCAATATTGTAATAATTGTATAAATAATGTCAACCCATTTATGACTTCATATTAGAATGGCTACTTGGACATTTATTGGAAAATGGCATCATTTGTTTACTTTTGAACATCGGCAAAAATCAAACATTTCTCCTACTTTGAGCTCCATTTCAAGGTTATTTTCATAGTAAAAATCAAAATCACCGCTATTCTATAATATGCTTTCCATTCTGTCAAATGAGACCAAGAAAACGAGAATACAACCATAAATACTATATGAAAATAGACCACAAAGTTGGCATTTTAATTAAAAAAAAAAAAAAGGTCAGTTTTTTTTTTCTCATTATGCACTCCGTGCTGCAGGATTTTTTTTATATGGTGCACACTGACCACACAGACCCATTCTCTCTTATGTGGGCCTACCAGCTTTCTCCTGCTTGATTTGAAGCCACTAGAATTTGTGAGTGTATATACGTCAAAAACGGTGGCTCATAAGACGTATATATACGACCAAAACAGTCAAAGGGTTAATGAAAAGCAGGGGTGCTATGAGTACACTAAGAGAAAACACAGTAAATGTTCAGGGCCCAAGAATGTTCAACAGCTTCCCATCATACATAAGGGGAATTACCAAAAAAAAAACCCTGGCTGTCTTCAGGAAGGAAATAGACAGATACCTAAACTCAGTGCCCAGTAGCCAGGCTGTGGTTTGAACACTGGATTACATGCAGTCAGCAGTAACAGCCTGGTTGATTTAGCCTTGATACACTGGGGGGTCTGATTAAGAACCAGGTTGCTGGGGCATTGACCCCAAAACAGTCCCCATGTAGACTCCAGGTAGTTGACCTAAAATAAATGCAGTTGGTCACACAAATTTGAGAAAAAATTAAATCCAGAATTCAGTGATAATCCACCTCACTTCTATCTTCCCTCCTTTACCCCTTTTCAAGGCTCCTTGATGTGGCAAAGAGGCTCTTGGTCATAGGAATCAAATCCTTTGGTCTCCTTCCTTAGACCAAGTCTAAGTACCCCCCAATCCTCCCCTCCTTATCCTATCCTCCCCAGCCCCCTCTTTTCCTTCCTTTCCTCCCCTCTCTAAACCCTCCCCTTTGCCCATCCCTTTTATAGTCTCTAGGGTCCTCACACTGGCATTACAGTTTCTAGGTAGGGGGAAGTGTGCTGGAGTTGATCCCACTCTGTAGGGTCCCTCGGGGGTGGTGTGGTTTGCCGTGGAATCTGAATTGTCTGAAGGTGCCCTGCTCCCTTCCTGGATTTTCGTGAAGTGGGCGGGGTGCTCTTCAGATAATGGGTGTATCTCCTGAAGCTGCCTGTTAGTTCTGGGAGGTGGCAGCCGAAGGAGATATGCTTTGTAGCAGGTTTCCAACTGCCCTTTCTTTTGTCCACCGCGGTGGCTCAGTAGATGTGAGGCTGCTATCCCGGAGCGCTGGTTTACTGGTATGAAGGGTGGGGTATGGCATGGGTTCCACGCTGCATCTTCACTGCCAGTGGGCTTGAGACCCTCTCGGATGAGGGGATGAGCTTCCAACCTTTCCATGCTTCCTAGTGACTGTCCCTCTGCTGTCCCTTTTCTTTTTTTTTTCTTTCCTTCTTTCTTTCTTTTTTTCTTAAAATAACAAGACAGGAGATAACACAGCAGAAGCACCTTTATTATGGAGTCTTCACTCAGTGAAACCCTTCCTCCTCCCAGGCCCCTTTCTGATCTCACAATCTGTTCTGACCCGGCTTCTTTATTGGACCATTCTCACGACTCTTCTCATACCCCTGTACCTTCTGCCGGTGATGCTCCGTCACCTGCTCCAGGTGTTGAGGCGCCACTCATTTCTGCTCATGTCGCTGCTTCTTGCACGCATTTAACAATGCATCTGGCTTCCCTGAATATGGTATGGCAGTTTTTGGTTTTGGATCGCCCACCTCCATCAGGTCAGACTACCCACGGTACTACTCCTAAACGTTCAAGACAACCTACTGACAACTTCTTCGATGTCTGCTCAAAAATGACCTACCTTTGCGTACTGGGTTTGCAAGTACGCAATGGACTAAATTCTATTCCTTACAAGCACGTTGGTCAAAATATATCCTTCCACGCTCTTTGAAGCGGTGTGCGTGTCATAACAGTACAGAATTCAGGACAAGCTCGTGCTCTCTTCCGTATCACTTCCATAGATAACATACCAGTAATCATTCGTAAACAAGCTACTCTCAGTTCTTGCAGTGGTGCTGTGGTCTTGCTGCGTACCATTGTACAGAGTGATTTTTTGTTTTGTGGCGATGATATTTTAGAACAATTAGCCCTTCAGGACCTTCCTGTTCTTAAGGTAGATAGTACATATGTCCTGCCCGCTCGTGGGCAGAGGTGATTTTATAGTAATATTGCCCGCTTAACCTTCAACTGCCGTGGCCTTCCGTCCTCTGTCTATATTGCAGGCCATCGCCCAGAGGTCCGTAAAGTAGTCCCCACTCCCCAACAGTGTCGTAATTGCTGGCGTTTTGGACACCCCACTAAGTACTGCAGATCTGCGGTGGAATGCCTGGTCTGCAGTGCAGCAGATCATTCCAATACGTCTTGTAGTCTTTCCCCTCTTGTCTCAATTGCAATGAAT